CTTAAGCTCTCAAAGTATCTATTTATCTTAGTAAAGCTGTTCAAGGCTTTGGAAATGATGGGGAGTAATAGGAGTCTCCATTACTTTGTTCTGATGAGAAAGGTGGGGGTGTGTGGGCAGGAGATAATCTGAGATGCACAGAAGCAGAATTTTGAGATTAGCTGAATTCCAGTTCCTTGACTCTTGGACTCTCAAAGATGTGTAAGTTGTCGTCCATTAATTACTGCTTATGAAAACAGATTACGTAACTTAAACTGATTAGGGCTTTGTGAGATGAAGTACTCTTAGTTTCCAAATTCAACAAAGCATTTCAGTTCCTTTCAAAGAGGGGGAATGAGCCTAAGTCTGTGCTTAAACTTAACCAGCGTTTTTGGATGAACTATGAACAGATCTGGAGATTCCGGTAACAATGCCTTATTTTCACCTTCAGAAAACTTTAACATTGATGCCTCTTGGCCATCAAGGAAGTGTTCCTGAGTCCACCAGAGACAGGATTTGGGCAAGTGCACAGCACCATGAGATAAACAAACTTAATATACTCCCTCTACTTGTATAACAGCAGGATATAAGTTGAAGGGGGAAGACAAGGGAACACCATGGGGAAAACTGCATAAGTAGTTGGAGAACATGCAGTAAAATCCTCTGCAGTATTTGTTGTGTACTGAGAAGGGTGTCTTCTGAAAGCACCCTGGATTGGAAATTCCTAGATCCTTTGATCCTTGTCCTCGGTGAGTACGACAACAAAAATATGCACATAAGAAGGATGTAAAGAAGATTCACCTGCTTACGCCAGGAATTAGGGACATTTTCCCAGCCTTCTTTCCCCGAGTGACATCTAGTGGTGCTTCTAGTTCATGCAGTGAGGAAGCTGGACGAAGAAAGGTTATGGCCAAGGCTGTTTTGGTGCATGAAATTGTGAGCTGGAGTCCTTTCTGGATGTTAGGTGGCAGTCCATCACTAACATTAAAGCCAACCATGTCAAGTATTTTAAGTGATAGCAAAGCAATGTTGAAGGCTAAGTTGTACTGAGCCTGGAAAGACAGAAGTACCTTGTGCTTTGTGCTATGTTTAACAGAGGGAATTAAAAACATCGAACAGGAAGACATTCTTGGCTTATCTGGGAAATATTATGCACAGACATTAGCTTGTGTGAAATTCCCTTAGCCACAACAAAGTTTTTCACTTACATGGGGTCTAATTCAGCAACTTAAAATCGCACAGTGCTGCTATCCATGCAGGGAGTCCTAGGAATGATGGGTGTGGGACTTCTGTGAAATAGGGGAAATGGTGAATACCAGGAAGGCTACATGTTTTGGCAGGGAAAAATGCACATGCCAGAGAAATGGGTGGAAGTTTTTAGGTTTTTAAAAAGAGGTTCTTTACAAGTATCATCAAAGCTAATGTTTGACAGTGTGTAGAGAACTCTGAACATCTCCCTTGCAGAATTGGCTGCATGTTGGTACTATAGACATCCCGGCAGTGGTTGGGACTTAACATCTGGAGGTCCCTTCCAACCCCTATAATTCTGTAATAGGTCCCCAAGGAGATATCTGCTGGACACTCCTTAATCAAAGAGTGAGACAGCTGTATGAACTAGGGGACCCTAACAGACAGAAGCTGCAAAACAAGGGAGGAACTCTGCGATGCCCTGCTCACTCTTCCTGATGTAGAGCAAGTTCTAGGCTGGAATGACTCTACTGTCACATATGCACTCAGGACATCTCACACTGCAGACTGCATGTAAGCTATACAAGAAAATGAAGAGCATCACAAGGGATGTCTGTTTTTCCTCAAAAGACAAAGTGCACAGTTCTGGAAATGGTGGTAAGGAGTTTAGTGATGCATCAGCTAGCAGGCTGCTTGCATTCTCCTCATGGTGATGTATATTTTTTTCATGTAATGTGATCTATTAATCTGCTGCTGGTTCTGAGTTCATTGGCCCACAGCTTGCCCTCTGTGTGGGTATTAACCATACTGTGTAATACCCATACTGTGGGGGTATTAACTTGATCTATGGGGTGTGAATGCAGTTAGCTGTAGATCACTGAACAGACTGAAAAAAGGCCATGCTGGGAGAGAGAAGGGCTGGCCTGACAGAGAGAGCAGCTGATGCTAGGCCCACAAATTTACTGTAAAATCAAACTACATCCTTCACTTTCCTGCTCCAAAAAACACAGACTAATGACTTTCCTAGCAAGCTGTCTGCGTTGCTGGGTACTGTTCCCATATTCTCTCTCTCTCTCTCTCTCATACATGCATTCAAATTATGCACTATCTCACTCAAGAAATTATGCGCTACCTGCATCAACTCTTGTAGTAGCTGTCAGAATCTGGGGTTGGAGCTTCTCTGACTTTGCTTACCTATGAGAAGCTTTTCTCTCTTGATGTGGCTGTTCTTTTCTTGCCTCTGCCGAGTGAGTAGGAAATTAGGCTGTGGCTTCATGCAGGACTGTAGCTTTCACTTTTTGCTTAGAAACAAAGCTACTGAGCTGGGAGAAATTAAAAGGAAAATAAATGCTACAGAGAAAAGGTTAATGCTGCACCTTAAGGTTGAACTATCAGCCTCAACTAAATCATCCTTTTACTGTTTAAGGCATTAAGTTTCACTTTTGAGTGGCTAGTTGTAAACATAGATGACTTGTTGACAAGGGAGGCTGAGACTGTTCATCTTTTTCTTTCTGACAGATCCAATTGCTTGTAAAGGTGCTATCCGTATTCAGTCGATGTAAGTTTACAGAGCAGTGAAAAACTAGACTGTTACTTCCCTAAAGCCTGTCTGGGGTTTCATCTGTAGTATGTGTGGCAAGAAGCTTTATAGCAAACAAGGATCCTATCTCTTGCTGTTTCATTAATGTTGCATTTTCACATGCAGTATTAGGAAGAATTCTAACAGCCAGGAAATCTCAATGCAACCTACTGATTCTTCGCTGTTGTCTTTCCAATGGACATGGTGTGTATCTTGCACAGGATGAATGATAGTCAGCACAACTAATGGGGCAGCAAGAGCCTGTTGGATTTTGTTGATTAGAAAGGCTTGCAGGCTGCAGTTCTGAGTGCTCAAATGGAATATGCAATCCCTTCCTCTTGGGAATGCATTTCTTGTGTTAATAGCTGGTTACCTATTAAACAACAGCATTGGGTTTATGAAATATAACCATAATGTTGTCTCGCCTTGTGGCAGCCTAAGAAAAATGCAGTTACAAAAGCAAAGGCATTACCAGGAGACAGTGGTGCCTTCCAGGAGAAAGCCTACTGGCCATTTACAGAACTTGTGCTGTACTTTCTCTTCCTCCTTTCAATGCATTGCTCTCTTTCAAAAGCCCAAGCTTTAGAGACCTGCCTAGGCAGATGCAAGAGGTAGTGGACGTGGTTCTTCGACCTGCTGTGTCTTTGCCGTAGCTGTGGAGAGCCAGGCAGGTAGCTGCTGGAGGTTTGAATATGGACTCTAAGTAGCATTAGATTTTCCTGGCCATTTTTGTAATTTCTATCTCCCTCTTTGGCAAAAGAGGCACTAAGCTTGATGCTTCTCCACTGTTTAGTCCAGCTGTGGGGCTTGTAATCAAGATAGATTTGGTTTCTGAGGGCTTGCGTAGTTAATCCTGTTCCCAGCAGCGTTGCTATTTGCTCTTCAAAAAATGCAATCCTACCTGCCTTTCCTTATGTTACACCTATCCAAGGCTTATCTGCTGGTTTGCTCAGAGTCGTGTGCAAAATAACCTTTCTGAAGTGAGCATAACCAGGCCAGACTGACCTTGGGTCCCACTAGCCAAACTCCTTTTCTATTATGTGGCAAGAGTAAAGGGGATGAAAAAAAAAAAACCTTCCTGAAATGGGGCTATTCCCTAGTTCTGAGGTGAGCTGACCTCTGGTGTTTCCCCGAAAGCAGGAAATGCCTTTGTATCATCGTAGGGCAGGGAGGGTAATGCTGCTGTGCTTGTGTTCTTACAGAAAAGCAAACAAACAAACAAAAAAAGCTAGTAGTAGTGCATACTTGGGTAAAAGTTCAAGTAGTTGCAGCAGTGAACATTAAACTGTCTTGGTTATCTCCCCATTCTCCACTGACTTGCAGCATAGGTCCTACTTGAGCAAAAGGTATTGCGGTCTTGGCTGTTACTGCCAGTAACATCTCTAATCACATCTTGAAACCTCAGTAATTGCCATCTGCATTGTCACATAGCAAAGAACTCCACTGTTTAAATAAGGCTGTGTAGAAAAGGGTCTGTTTCTGATCTGTCCACTGCTAATGTAATTTGCTGTGCTGTGTGCTTTATGAACTTCATAAAATCATGCTTAGGCTCTGCAATTGTGCAGTTTATCATGCATGGAACATAAATATCTCTGTGCTATAGCATATGCAATGCCAATGATTTCTTGAACAAGAAATAAAGGAATATGCAAGTCTGCATATGGGTACCATTGCAGGACTGATTTTTCTGGGCCAGTATTACTAGATAGAAGGGATAAAATGACTTATTCAATCCCCCCGATTAAATGTATTAATGAGCATCACCTGAAGTAACAACAGGAGAAGGAGCTCAGAAATGCTGTCCCTCCCATTTGGCCTTCCCAGCCAGACGTGGCAGCACGGAGGCACATTTTTACCAGTCTCGTTTCTACTGCACGTTGGCCCCGCATCTCCACTGCGAGCTATTCTTTGAACTGTTTGCTTTATTTTCTTCCTTCACGCTGCTTCCTTACGATATTTAACATCTGCACATGCGCTGTCAGCTTCTTGAAGATAAACTCGAAGGTGTTTGGATAGAAATGCACTCATATGGACTGAAATGTAAATTACTGAGGGGAAACAAGAACCCCTTTCGAAGAGCTGAGCTGGAAGGACAGCAGCAGTCCCGCAGCCCAGCTCTTTAGGCTCTCTGCGCATCCTCGCCTCCCCTGCGCCCGCCCTGCCCGCCGCCGGGGCGGAGCGAGGAGAGGGGCGGGCTGCAGCCCTGTTTGAATTCAAACGTACACGGCGGGTGGGGCTGCCGTTCCTCCGTCTGTCCTTCCTCGGGCGCGACGAGGGCTGCCGTCCCGCGGGGAGGGGAGGTGAGGGAAGGTCTTCGCTGGAGGCCGCCGGCCTTGGGGGGTTCGGCGGTGGGCTCGGGGTGCTGTAACGGCCCGCGGAGGTCAGCGCGGAGTGCTGCGGTGTCGCCCTGCCGGCGGGGCCCGGAGCGGGGCGGCAGCTCGGCTCGGGGAAAGTAAAGCTGACCGTGCCCACTGTCCTTCTCTCCAGCGATGGCGTGTCGGAAGGCCTCCGAAGCTTCCTTCAGCCTGAGCGATGTACGAGAGCGGATGCGGGAGAAGAAAAATGGTGTTCTGAGGACCGCCAAGTTGAATGCCTCACTTGCGTCAAAAATCAGAACGAAGATCATCAGTGAGTGTTTTGTCTTGCAGTGTGTTTGGGGGGGGGGGGGTTGACTCTTAGCGAGAGCTTTTGTACTTAACAACACCTTACCAGCCTTTGGGCTTTTAGAGAATTTGATACCCCTGCAAATGAGGGTCAGATGCCCGCTGAGGTGTTCGAATGTGTCTGAAGGATGTGTGACTGGCAAGTGAAACCGTGGAGGAGCAGCACTGGGGCAGTTTCAGGCTACTGGAGAGTGTCTGTGGTGGCACTGGACGAGTCTCTCTGGGCACACGAGTCCTCAGGGTCTGTATTAGCATCCAGTCAACAGCAGTAAAAGGAGGAGGTGTTTTAATGCTTATACTTGCCATTGTAGAAGCCAGTCCAACGGCATTTATAGGGGATGTGTTGGAGAAACAGTGCATAAAATCAAATATTACTATTACTCGCATTTATTTATCATAAAATTGGGGAAGATGGGTTGAAATCTGCTGAAGGTATAGAGGGAAATGTAGGTGTCTCTCCGTTTTGGGTGGAAATGAGGACTGAGAGCTGTAGTTGGTTTTCTTGATCAGAAGCATGCCTGCCTGTAGCCAGCTCCCAAGCCATTCTGTCATTCATTAGGAATTGAAAGATAGGCTACTGGCTGAGCATGACCCTCTGAAAATGGAGATGTCTGCATCTAAAGTGTTTCAGTTATTATGAAAAGTCTTCCTTGCTGCTTTCTGGAGAATTCCATACCTACCAACATATGGGAATGAATTACACTGCTGTGTTTGCGTAGAGGGCTGTTGAGTTGTAAGTATCTGAGCCTGAGGGAAGGCTAATCTAGGAAGACAGGCAAATATGACAAGGGAGGAGAAAGGCATGGATGAAACCTTGAATGCTGATTCAGTGTGGTGATTCTCTTGCTTACAGACAACTCCTCCATTATTAAAGTTTCCCTAAAGCACAACAATAAAGCACTGGCACTGGCCCTCAATGCAGAGAAAGCTAATGCACAGCGGCTTGCCAAGGAGAAGGTCATCTTGCAGATGGAGTTGGAGCAGTGTCACTTCCAGAACGCTTTTCTGCGGAACAAGCTCTGCTTTCTGGTATGGCATTAATGGAGTTGTCAGAAGGTGGGCAGCACTAGCTCCTCTGCCTTGGGAGAGGTGCATGAGCTGTCACTGATTGTCCATATCTTCTGCATCTGACATGAGTCTCCATTACATGTATATTCTTTGCTTTAAGCTATGTTCTCCCCAGAGGAGCTATGCTTTCTTATGGTTGCCAGTATCCTTGTTTGAGCAGTTGTTTTTATTTTAATACCCTTGTTGTTTCTCTGTTTCCTCAACATAGAGTAATGTCTTGAAGGAACTTGAAAATCTTGTGGAGTCAGTTAAGATGGCTCGGCTTTCTGAGGTAAGCACTGGGGAGTGTGATCATGCTGCTGGTTGTACTGGAAAGGAGGCTGTGTTTGTCTCCTGCTAAATTCAGTGTTGAACACATTTGCCATTTAGCTTGCTTGGAATGTTATGGCTGCTTCCTCATTTTTAACCTGGTGCTAACGTCACTTGAAGTTCATGTGGAATCTTCCCACTTCCTAGTCTCAGATTATCTAAACTAATTTAAGTCCATCCTTCTGCCTGTGGAGGCAGAATGTGATTCTGCTGCGACTCATTGTGCGCAGTTTGCACAGTAAATGATTTCTAGTAGACCAGGAAGTTGCAGGCTTAGGCCCTGTCCAATATAGCTAATGTTCTCTTAAGAGATGGATAAACTGCCTTCTCCAGTGGGAGGACAGGACCTCTGGTTGTGCAGTTTTAAATGGCGGAAGGTCACTGGCAGTATTTGACACTTTCCTGGTTGGATCCGAGCTGCTACTGTCTGTGTGCAGGCATTTGCACAGGTGACTGCAAGAAACTTTAACTCCCTTTCTGTTTATCTGCTCTCCAGTATCGTCCAAGTCATCTGTCCCTGTCTAATGGCCAGAAGACCAGCATGACTGAAGATAGCTGGGCTGATGATATTTCAGATGGTCATCTTCTGAGGTTGGCCTTTAAGTCAGATGCTGAAATGACTTTTATGTGTTTTACGTGTGTGTTCAGTTGTTTGTATCTTGTGACTTGTCTTTCCTAAAACATTCCTGTTTGCTATTTTCCTTTAACCTGTCTTTCTGCTGCCATTTCTCATCTTATTTGTCCTAGTGCCAAGTCTTTTTTTACATGAGCTTGCCCTTTTCTCTCCTCTCCTTTGAAAACACATCACTTTCAGATAAGTTTTTTCTTCTTGTTTGGAGAGTGCTCTAAGATTTCCTTCCCAGCCCATTTTGTCTCTGACAATGCAGATGGTAGATCCTTTGGAGGAAAGGCCCTGTCTTTTGAATTTACTGTTGTGATGGTTTAATTGTAGCTGTTGTAAACAGTTAAATCCTATTTCTACTAGTGATGTACTCTTATAATCCTCTTCTATGAGAATACTTAAGCATGTGTTTAGCTACAGGGAAGAAGGCAGTACTTCCTTGTTGCCTCTGTATTTTTTTCCTGCTTCTGCATATGTAGATGTGCACTTTCCTTATGAATTGTCCTTGCACATAGAGTAAAAAAGCTATCCTGGGCAGATGGTGTATGTTCTTCAGCATCTGAAGGTTTCTGAAATGTACTGTAGCACATTGGCTTTTGAGAGATGAAAGCTGTGTTGTGTTGGATTCCTTAGTGTCTTGCAAATGTGGAACATGCTCCATTGCTGTTATTCTTTCTCATTAGCACTGCAGCAATGCCACTGAGGGTGCCCATTTCAAAGCCTGCAGATTGTAGACAAAGTGGCAGCTCCACGGCAGTACGGAAGTCCTCATTAGATCTTCAGAGATGTGCTCCTGATAAGCCCCTGGAAACTTTGTCTGTTTCTGAAGATGCTTTGCCACCACAGTTGGCTGGGAAACTTCAGTCCCACCAGAAAGAAAATGGGAAGAACAGGAGTGAAAGAGGGGAAGCGCAAGAGGCTTTTCTTGACTCGTGCCTCTTCAGAGGTAAGTGCATCTTTACTGGTTGTTGGTATGATTTGGCATGTATGTAGAGCCATAGCTCCCCTTAGCTTGTAGCTATTAGCTCCTGTGTTTCTAAAGTTATTATATTAGGGCTGGTTAAAGGATCTTGCTTTGGGCTGCCTTTGTTCTGACCAAAGCTGAGCAATTCAGTTACGATGAGTATGTGAAGTCTGTGGAACAAAAATAATGCATTTTCTGTCTTCTGGTTTTGTGGTAGGATTGCAGTGAATATTTTGTAGTGGTACTGAAAAAACTGACTTTTTGCCTGCTATGTTTCTGAGTCTTAAGAATGAATGTTGTCTTTCTAACAGAGTCCTTGTGTGCCACTCAACAAAATCTCAACAGTTCGTCAGCACTTGCCTGGGAAAGTTGTCCACTTCCATATGAAGATGAAATGGTGAAGCACTTCTGTGATCGTCTCTCACAAGGGCACGTTACGCAGCGGAGAAAACGTTCCACTTGGTTTGCAACAAGTGCTCAGTCTTCAGGTGTGGATATCACCCCACATGTCAGTTCAACTCGGGCAACCTGGTGTGGTATTGTGAAGGATAGCAGCAGTTTCAGTGAAAGCAACACACAGCCACAGCTAAAATCTCCCAGCTCACTGACTTTACCTACTGAAGCAACTGTTAGTCCCAACAGAAGATCTTCAATTAAAGAAGCTTTTTGTGATCAGCCACAGGCTGAAGAACCTAGGTGTAGCACTGAAGTAGATTCCAGCTCCGGTGAGGTCATGGAGTTTGTTCCTGTAAAGATTAAAAGTAAAGTTAACTGTAAAACTGATGAGAAAAAGGCTGCTAAAAAAGCAAGTGCAGGAAGAAAGAAAACAAATATGATTAAAACCAGTGCAAAAAATGGTCCTGATATACCTCAAAGTGAAGAGAATACCCAAAATGCAAAGAAGCCCATTTCATCAGAAGTTGCAGCATGGCCTAGTGGGTCGGAGGCTTCGGATCTGGAGCAGGAGGCTTGTGTTGGAGCTTTGGACTTGAAGAACAGAGGCTCTGGTGTGGTGCAAAGTTCGCATTCTCCTAATAATGTCAGAATCAGAAGAACTTACATGGTGAACAAGCCACAGCTGAGTAGTCTTGAAAGTGGTGACTTAGTGCAAGTTGAGAAAGATGGAATAGTTGAGATCCAAAGCATGGAGAGCAGCTTGTTAAAAAGCCCAGTTCATACTGTCTCAAGTCATGAAGTTCCCTCAGATGATTGCAGTCTGCAAAATTCATTTTTGTTGAGGGGTGGGACTTCAAGTGCATATGCTTTACAGGAAGACTCATCAAATGTGACCACAAAGAGTATCAGACAGAAAACCAATAGAAAAACTAGAGTAATTAGTCAAATAAATGACTTTGAGGAGAATTTGCCGAGCAGCATGGAAAAAATACTTGAGGCCAGAGCTGAAGAGCAACGTAAAAACAGCCAGATAAGGAGGAGGAAGACAGTCACGAAAAGCAGTTGTCAGAAAAATGAAGGCAATTTTGACCCATTTATAGATGTTCAAGGAATAGCTGAAGGTGGCACAAGAGATTCACTAGTTAAATGTAGAAAAAGGACTTATTTTGTCTGTCCTTTGGATCTTACAGGAAACTTGGGTTCTGTCCAGACAGATTTTGAAAAGGATGAAATGGTGCCATCTAAGTGTATTCTAGGGAGCAAAGCTAGCAAAATTCCCAGAGTTCAGAGGAAGGGAGCTGCTCAGAACAATAAAAAACAAACAGAGGATCCTCTAGAAAAGGAGCAAACTAAGGTTCTCAACACTGGTTCTGTGGAAGAAGAAAGCAATTGCAAACCAAAGCCTCGGAGGAAGAGGAAAACCTCCGTTCCTCCAAAGACCAGTTCTGTAGACAAACAGAGCGATGATGCCGGTGTCCTCCATGAGAGTTCTACAGAACTTGTGTCTAAGCAAACTGTATTAGTTGAGAAATCTTCTTGCCCTACCAATTTGCTGTCTGAGCTGGGTGCCTCCCTGGAAGAGCAGATAGCTGACATTTCACTTCCAAATAATCTTATGGACCTGTCGCAGAGCCTTGAGTCCTCCTCTGTGATCTGTTCTACAGACTTGCCTGTCAGCTGTGGGCTTACAGATCTACCAGTTTCCAAAAACTCGGAGACCAAAGGTGAAAGAACTCCAGCAAAATCTTCTCTTTGTCCAGAAAGCTCTCTGCTATTTAAAGAAAGGAGGGCAGAAGAAGCATCTAGGGAAAAAAACAAGGTTGTGTCAAGTTTTAAACATTGTTCCCAGAGTTCATCTCCGCAGGAACCTGGTAGGTGGCAGAATGGGGAGGGGACCTGTATTTGGGGGTAAATACTGCAATAAAGATTGCAGACAGTGCATGCATTTCTGTTCCTCTTCTGGGTTTGAAAGATCAGTGTGCATTTACGCTTCCATTTAAACTGACCAGTCACTCCTGTGACTGCATTTGTATGTAGTACACTAGCATTCCTTTAAGAATTTCAGATTGCTCTTACATGCATGAACTTTGGGAAAGCACTGAAAGCATGTCCTGTGAGTACCTTCTTTTCCTGCTTTGTTGTCCATGGGATGTGCTTGTCTATTTAGAAAACTTGTCTCAAACAGCTGAAAGGTGTAACCTGATGTTAGCTCTGCCTGTGGTCAACACTACTGGGGCATTATTTTGTTTTTCAAAGGATTTGGAGGGTGTATTCTGTGGCTCTAGTAGTAGTTCAGCAGTTAAGCTGATTTTTGCCACAGTAAACCTGGCAGGGTCCTGCATTATGGGAAGCCTCCTAGGTTGTCTGGGTATCTTAAGCTTGCTTTCTACAGGCTGTCAACTTGATACCAGAACTTTCAACTCCCATTTTTGCAGAAAGAGGCTACTACATTTGAGCCAATGATATTTATAATATTAAAGATCTGTATTTTTTTAGAGAGAAGCCTAATTTGATTAATGAGCTCACTTGTGAGGAACAAGTGTAGGATTTTGGAACAAAAATGGTCTCCTGAGTTTAGAGGTGGTGTGATTGGATTCAGGCTTAGGCAGAGTTCAGAGAATCCTGGTGATGCAGACATCTGGAAGCTGTATTTCTAAAGATATTTGGAAATTATTGTGATCAGCTCTGTGAATGTGTCTCTTTAGAAATCAGGCCACTACAGGACTTGACCAATGCCAGGACTTCATCTCTTGTCCCCTGCTTGGAAGAAGTATCAGAACGTGCATCCAGACGGAGACCAGACCCAGCCTGCTACCGAGAACCAAGTCTCAAGTGGTGGGGATTTAAACTATTCATTCCATGACTTTTCCTATGCTGGAACTCCTGCTCTGCTCTCACATACTTGCTGTCGAGGGCTAAATCCTCTGTTTTGTTGGTCTTTCAGTCCCTCCTACCCTTGGTGTTTCTGTGAGTCCCTCTTTACCACAGTGCAGTTAAGCATAACTTATGCATTAGTATATGTGTGTGTAGGCTTCTTTTAGCTGTCAAAGATGTTATTTCCTTCACTGAACAAATGCATCTCTTAGCAAGTCTGCATATGTGGTACCCTTGTGCTAATAAGGGATTAGTATGAGAATAAAATACAGGACATGGGAGCTGGGAGAAATGAGTGAGAAAATATAGAGGCCTTGCAGGCACCAAGGTCAGTGAAGAAGGAGGGGGAGGAGGTTTGCCTGCAGCTAGTGGAGAGGCCCATGGTAGAGTCTCCTGCAGCCCATGGGATACCATGCTGATACCATGCCCATGGCAGAGCAGGTGGATGTGGCTTGAAGGAGATTGCAGCTCACAGAGGGAGCCTGCACAGGAGCGAATGCTTGGCCAGAGCTGCAGCCTGTGAGGAGCACTCATAGAGGAGCAGCTGTCTGTTGCATCTGTGCTGGAGCAATTTGTTTGAAAAAAAATAAATAAAATTTACACTCTATGTTATGTTGGAGCAGTTCTTGAAGAGCTGCAGCCTGTGGGGAGTCCACATAGGATTGGTATGGGAAGAACAGCATCCCATAGGAGAGGCTCTGTGTTGGAGTAGGAGGAGTGATTGAAAGTGGAGACAGTGTTGGACTAACCACAGCCCCATTCCCCTGTGCTCCTCAGAGTAAATAAATAGATATGGGGGGGTAGAGAGACAGGAAAGATGTCCTTTTTGTATGAGTACTTGCTGCTTTAATCTGTTAGTAGCACTAAATTGCCTTCATCTCCTTTACGCTGAGTTTGTTTTTGCCCGTGACTGTAATTGGTGAATGCTCCCCTGTCCTTAACTCATGAGCTTTTCCTCCTCGTGTTTTCTCCCCTGTGCTGTTGGGGTGGCAGTGAGAGGGCAGTATGGTAGACTTAGCTAGCCACTGATGTGAAAACAGCAAACCCTATGAGCAGGTTGGTTCTGTATCTGCTTTTTCTAGTGGATTTGAATACCAAAACAGCTAGCTGCATTTTTTTTCACAAAGCAACTGCTGGTTCAGTATGGACAGTGGCTACTGTACTTTACAGTTAACTCTGTATTGTACATTTAGCTGCTAAATAATGTCTTCAATTAAATTGATTTTATTAAAATCTCTGTGCTGCTAGGAATGATACTAAGTTTTTCAGTATCACTGTTTGAACTAGTGAGAAATTGGTTATTATATATGAGTCAGAAAGTACTTGTACTGTGTAAGGAATTAACTTTTACTACCGAGTCATCTTATGGTGGAAGCATTTCAGCAAATCCATGAACTTTAGAGACTGAAATCATGTATATACAAGAAATCTCTTGGTGCTTTAATCTAATGCTTCTGGTTCCACAGCAAACTGAGGCGGGGTGACCCATTTACAAACAAAGAGTTCCTCCACTCCCCTGTTTACAAAACCAAAAAGAAGAAAAGGCCCAAAACCAAGGAACTGACCAAGAATATCAAAGAAGAACAAGTTCCTGTCGGATGTCCCAGTGCCAACGCAAGCAAACTAACATCAATGGGAGACGAGAAGCAAGAAGTGATGCAGTAGTTGAACATGTAGCCTGTAAGTTCCTGCTTCTGTGTCTTTACTAGGATGTCTCTAATGTTTGGTATAGCTTTTTTTTTTTTTTTTTAAAAGTGTAAATAAAGTCTCACAGATAATAAAAAAAACCAAAACATTGTGACATCTATTCCCTAACCTCTTTGGGCAGAGTATTTAATGTACAAGCTTCATTTTATAAAAGGCTCCCCCAAGTCAGTTGGGATTATCTACTGATTTTGCGGGGCCTTTGTTTTCAAGGGCTTGCCTTCCAGCTGGGGTCCTTTGAGGAGGTGAGCAGCCAGCCCAGTGTTATACCTACACCTGCATGGAGCTGCCAACCTGTACTTGCTAAAGTGTTCCCATAATTCACAAAAAGTATCAAGGGAAGTGATAGGTTCAAATTCTTGTGCTCTACCTGATGCTTACCATCACAGGGCAGCTGACACATCACCACAAGCCACCACACGTTAAAACAGTGCTCTGAGAAGGTAGAGAATTTACTTCACATTTACATAGTGTTCCTACTCTCTGGCCCAGTATGCACTGGACTGCACTGAAAGGTACCTAGTTCTGTTTCTGAGGCAGAATTTCACCATTGCTCCTAATCACATAAGGGAAACACAGACACAAAGAATGTTATCTGGCTTTTATTTTAGTCTGAACTAAACTATTCTTCAAAAAAAAAAAGAAAAAAAGGATGGAATAGTTTTTCACAGTCGTAAGCTGACTTGCTGTATCACAGTAAGTGTATGCGATACCCCAGACAACTAGAGAAACATTCTGCACCTTAATGAATTGCAAGGGAGGGGGAAGACAACAGTTCCTATGATTCACATCCAGTCAGGAGGAATATATCTAAATGCACAGCCTGCATTTAGGATACTGCTGCAGTTTTATTAGGCTTTTAGCCTATAGGGTTTATTTCCAGCATTTACTAAGTGCTTCTTCTCAGATGCTAATTTTGACTTAACAAATTCCTTGTTATCAGGATGTTGTGCTGTAGCTGGCCCTAAAAGGAACATTAAGAAAGGGGCTGTAGTAGAGCTGTCACAATTCTGTGAGCTCATTTATACTCAGTGGACAATACTGGAGCAATAAAGACGTTTCTGATTTCTCAGGTCTGTTGGAGAGTAAGTCACTGCTGGTTTGACCAGAGATGTGACACAGACTGGCTTTCAGTTTGAGAAGAAGGAAATTGTAATAAAGTTGTAAGAGAGGAACCTCAAGTTTGCTCAGAATGACATAAGGAATCTAGGCCCAGAGTGAGCTTGAATACTATTACATTCAGCTGCTTAGCAAAGTGGGACCTAGCCTGGCAGCTCAAGAGGTGTAAGAAAAAAAGTATATTTTAAAAGTTTGTATGTTCATATTTGTCTAGTATTTGAAATGTTACACAATGGTGATGTGGTGCCACATCAACTGCAGTTTAAGTGGGAATTTCTTAGCAGATCTCAAGTAGAATGCAAGCCTTAAAGTTTGGGCAGAGAGGCCAGCTTCCCCTTCAGGTTTGCAGCAAGCTTGTCCATGAATTCAAAGGTGCTCAGGTAGTCAGAACGTGTGACACTGAGGGAGGAAAAAAACAAGGCAGACATTAGTTGTCATGCTATTCAATTCTCAAAGTGGGAGAAGACTGCTCAAAGAGGTTTGAGCCCTGCCTCTGAAACCACCACAATCGGCCATTTATCATCTTGTGAAAAGGACCCAGAAAAGAAAGAGCCAGGTGAGGTAGATCTCCATCCTCATGAACGGGCAGCAAAAGTTCTGACTGATGTACCCAGCCTGCAAGGAACTTCTTTATACTTTTATTTCTCCTCTGCCAAGCATTTGTCACAGTAGCAAGGACAGAAGAGCACAGACTAAGGTACTTGGTGCAGATAACATTTCACAACCCGTTGTAGAGCGCTGGCTACAGGAGAGCACTGCTCTGTGACCAAACCAGCACCACATACACTAAAGTAACTTTCCAACAAACATTTTTCCAGGAAAACTAAGTAAGCAAGTCCCTGCTGAGTGTAACTGATTTACACTTCATGCACTTACTTAGGTAGGCCTTTGATACAAGCAGCAAGGTCCTTTGTCATGAAACCTGATTCAATGGTCTCAATGCACACTTCTTCCAGGGCAGTTGCAAAGGTCTTGAGGCTAGTGTTGTTGTCCAACTTAGCTCTGTGAGCTAATCCTCTTGTCCAAGCAAAGATGGAGGCTGAGAAAGAACACTAGATTACTCTGTTCCTTCTAGGATTCTCCTGTGTTGTACTAAACTGAGGTAGTACAGTAAGTATACATTTTAACAATAATGCTGAAAACAGAAAAAAAGTTAGGTGTTTTCTTTCCCACAGCAGACTTCCTATTTTCAGGTAGGCATAATTGATATTTTGTGCAGCTCTAAAGAAAAGCAAAACTTAAACTACTCCATGACTTCTGAAAATTTCTCTTTGTGTCTGCCACTTTATTTTGTTCCTCCCCAAGTCAGAAAGACCTGTAGTGGGACTCTGATTACACAGGAAGCTGTCCTTATGACAGAAGGGTGCCTCTTCTTTCTAGTAATACATTACATTGTATCTTTTTCTCACATGCCATTCTAAGTGAATTTATACTTAAAGTACAGTTGGATAGGTGGCTGTTTTTTTGGACTATCAGAGAGGGAATAAAATAAAAAGCTACCAATCCAAACCATAAGGCCAGCGTGGCTATAAATCCATCACTTGGAGAAGAATGACAACACATCTCATAGGGTAGATTGTATGAAAATTATTGCTTGCACTCCATGCCAGCCTGATTTTGCTCCGAGTGTCTCTGTGAAAGACAAGTACATTATGAACTACCAGTGTGAACTACTCTGTGGTGCTAGGTTCTCCAGAAAGGGTATGAATTCTTACTCCAAACCTGTACTTTTACATGTAGAGATCTCTGAAGGGCTCACCAATGGGGTTAGTGGAGGTTTCTTGGCCTTTCTGGTGCATGCGGTAGTGACGAGTAACCGTGCCATGTGCAGCTTCTGCTTCAACAGTCTTGCCGTCAGGGCAGATCAGCACGCTGGTCATCATGCCCAGAGAGCCATAACCTACATGAATACATAGATCAGTCTTCTAAACAGAGCCCTCATCTAAATTCCCCTTATTTCTGCCATGAGAGAGCTTTGCAAACTCTGCTGCAAGCACTCTTGAACACCAGAGCTGCTGCAACTAATTGGCTAGTTCTGAAACTTCAAAATAACAACTCACACGAGCAGTGCTGCTGAACCACAAGGTACAGATGTGTAGATATTCTGCCCCATTTCAAGAACATTAATATTTCCACCTAACTTGCTGGACTTATTTATTTATTTATTTTTAATTTTTCAGAGCAGAGAATCCTAAGGGCAAGTAGCGTTGGGCTGCCAGTTTGTACCTCACCAGGAGGGGATAAGAAACAAACTGATTCCAAGTCAGCATCTGCGTCAGTGAAAGGAACGGTCAGCTGGCAGAACTGGACATTCGTGCCCCCTCTACCCTGCAAGTTTCAGAGATCTGTGTGTTTGAAGGCTTCTTTGTGCAGCAATCCAACACATCTTTGTTCTGTGAGAGGCAACTGACTAAGAAAGAACATTTCACATAAAGCCACATAATGCCCTGTGGGTTTCTTCATCTATATTTGTTTTGGCATCAGGCAGTTTGATTACACAGGATTTTGGTCAAGTGCTACAAATCTGTAAATTTTAACACATGACAGCTAGCTTTAGGACTTCAAATTTTTCTTGCTTATCTGTTTAGCACCAGTTTTCTCACCACTGATCAACCACTACAACGGAAAGGCTGTTGGTTATATTGCTATCTGGTGAAGGAGTACAATTAAATATGTGGTCTACATTCAATGGAACTTCTCGTCAAAATGAAATCAAATTATGTGCCTGCTTGGTAGCTCCGTGACTGGGCACAGGTATGAAATATAACTTCTGAGACCCATCACCATCTCTTGGCAATACAATAAGACATGACACAACACTATAAGAAACTGCTATTGAGTTTACTTAAGCATAGCAGAGGAAACTTCTCATACCTTGAGCAACAGAGTCAGACTGCACATCCCCATCATAGTTCTTGCAGGCCCAGACAAAGCCTCCTTCAGATTTCAGGGCCTGTGCAACCATATCATCAATGAGCCTATGTTCATACCAGATCTTCTTGGCTTCAAACTGGGACTTGTATTCTCTGGAAAACAAAAATCGGAACACTGATATATAGATGAAAACAGGATGCACGGCTTGTGCGAGTAAGTGTGCCAAGTGAGGTGTATGGAGATGAGATAAAAAAAAACAACACAAAAACACAAAATCCAGAAGAATATTCATAATTTTTGCTCTTTTCTTCTTCCTCAATTATCACAGCCAATGCAAATCTATTCAGAGAACCCATAGAGAATCCGTGGCTCTCTATGAGTAGAGATGAACAACATAGCCAGATGTTGTAAAGCCTTATGTACTGTGTCCTGTGGGACAATGGAAATTATGACAGAAAAGGTGTACAGCCCTCCTGAAGGGTGTTTGCCATTACTGCCAAGAGTCTGAAAATACTGAATTAACTGCAAAAGTTCACAAGACTTGATATGTTTCTGCTGCAGACTGATGCACTGTGGTAGGAAGTATACAACCACCACAGTTACCTGTCATAGATCTCTTGGAAGATGTCTTTAAAGCGGCCATCATATCTCTTCAGGATGGTATTCTTGGTGCTCATGTACAGGGGCCAGCCTTTAGACAGCGCCATTTGGAAGGAACTATGAGCAAAATCCTTGATAGACTGGTCAAGATTGTACATTCCCATGGCTACACCTCCACAGCCTGTTAGCAAAAGAACAGACAGAATTTGACTAGGTTTAGTTTTGGTTAAGGGTTTGCTAGTCTCTTCATAGCATACTCTGGCAGTTAGACTGGCATTACTTCCAGGTGCCTTGATATACTTTTCATTTTCAGACTGATTCTTTCAGGGAAAGATTCACTTTGCACTACCAGCTCAAAGCTGGAACAGTCCTATAATACATGGATACGTAAGGTGTTTTTGTTTTACAGCTAAGTACATCTTCACACCTAATACCCCTAAGAAGTTTCTACCTAATCCGCATTTAAGAA